CCCTTAAATCATAAAGCCTAAAAGGCTGTAAGTGTTCTGCGGTTGCAGGATTCTAGCTGTTGAGCCTGGGCTTGCAGGGATCCGTTAGTTGAAGCTTCCGCACAAAACCGAACAGTCGTCGCCCGGGAGCCCGACAACCCCGTGAACCCTTAACCACAAAGCCCTCACATCAACGAAACCCTAAACCTTGAACCCTTACAGCAGAACCCCGACAAAGCCCTGATAAGCCTTACAGTGCCCTTACAGGGATCTTTAACAGAACCTTTTAACCCTCACAGAAGAACCCCTGTAGAGCCCTTGCAGAGCCCTTAAAGGGACCCTTGGCAAGTCTTGTCCATGAGGCGGCCACAGATGGTGCTGAAGGCCCTGCTTCCCGGACTCCAGATCAACTTCAGACATTATTGTAGCACAACAATATAAGGGCCTAACTAATTACCTATACTATTTTTGGGGTTCCTTATGATAACTGTAATATAATGGGCCCCAAAACCCTGCTCTAATTATTACGGCCCCACTATTAGCAACATCGGGTTGATAGCGTGTTCTAGAGGTCTTTGGAAGGGTGAACAAGATCGATGGTGAACAAGATCCGGTTGGTAGGGTGTTCTAGAGGTTTATGTTTCGTAGGTTTGAAAAGGTATCTTATAGGTCAGGTTTGCCTACGGGTTAAGACTAAGAAGGGCTGAAGATTGATTCTGGACCAACTTCCAGACTTCAAGCCTGTTGAGGGCTTAAGGCAACACTCCTTTCAAAGTGTACGAACAAAGGGGAAATTCAATAAACGCAAAAAACGTTGATCAAACATACCATTGAATATGTATACCCTCTGGCCATAATCCATCCATCCTTCCTTCCATCCATCCAGCCAGCCAGCCATCCACCCATTCATCCAGCCATGCGCACACACATGACACATACACCGTCCGCGGATGAATGCATACATAATACTAGACCGTAAGCCCCAACCCCTGGCCCAAACCCTTTAAATCCTGAGCCTTACATCTGCAGCCCCACATCCTAAACCCTAAACCCTACGCTGCTGAACCCTACACCTCGCTTGTGGGCATCGTCTCTGCCATGCAAGATGGAAAAACTTAAAATGTTTGAACCCAAAGACAAGAAACAACACCAAATCTCGAACCAGGGATCTTCATCGCCGGCGGACTCGGCGGTTCGGACAGTGGCGGATTCAATGATGTGTGGCAGTCCCAGGTGCGCCGGAGTTTAAGATTCACGGCAGCCCCCTAGACCCCCCCTGACTGCCTGGTATTGTAGCTTTCGAACTTAGTGTACACCTATTTGGGTGGTTGTCAAAATTATGGTCCCTTTTTGGGTCCCTAATATAGTACGGCACCTAACTTTTAGGGTACCCAACAAGGGACCATAATTTTGACAACCACCCATTTCAAGATTCTCTGGCAAGCATGATGAGAAGCCTGCACACCACACACTTCATGGTATTGTCCTTGGTTGAGACACGTTGGACCGTAATGGTTAGAAAGAGCGTGCAGGTAAGGAGAAGCATGTTCAATTTATAGCCCTTTTGGTTCCGTACTGGAAGTATCAGTATAATGTAGTGCAAAACCCTTTTTCTAATCAAAATGCCCCTGGTAGTTCTGCAGGGCTGGGCTTCCGAATCTTGCTGCGGCCGTAGCCAGGGCGGCCTACTTTCATACTCCAGCTGGTCCTATCACCTAGAGGCTCCATAGTGGTTCCGTTTTGTGATTCATATGTAGGGTCCTATAAGGTAATCCCCAAAAGGAACTACTATGGAGCCTCTAGGTATGAGCCTCAACAGCATCACCCTGGACCCCTCGTTGAAATCCTGGTCGGTTGGCTTCTGGCATGCGAGCGATATCCTGCAAGCCTACAAGCTTCCAGCACATGTTAGGACCCTAGCGGAACCCCAACATCTACCTATAGTCTCCATTGTATAGTTCCTTTATTTGGCTTAACTCCCAAAAGGTAACCCCAGAAAGGAACTACAATGGAGACTATAGGTATTCCATGACGCTTCCTCAAACCGCCTGACCTGATGCTCCCAAAGGTTGCGCTAAGAATCCCTGCATGGGGAACACCATCAGAGTAAAGGCATTCAAGAAACATTAAAGAAACTTAAGAACAAAAGAAACCTGTAACCCGATTGCACTTTAAGGAGCACGTTTCAAAGAAGCGGGACAGCGTATGCCTCAGTTCGGCAACCTTACACGCGCTCCGATAGTGCCGGAAAACAAAGGCCACTCAACCAAAAGAAACCTTCCAGATAGCTGACTTTACCGCTGCAGTAAACCCTAAATCTTAAACCGAAACCATCCTAAACCCCTAAGCCCTAACCCCCTAAAGTCTAGCAAAAGCCAGGACCAAGGAAAGACCTGGCAAGCCGTCCTTCTGGCAGCACCCTGGAATGCACCGGTCTCGGAGAAGAGGGCATAGGTATCGGAGTCTCAAGCCTCTCCCTGGGTCTTAGTAGGGAATGAGTTGCAGGGACTACTATAAGGGACAGCAGAGCCCGTTTCTGGTAAAGACCTCCCAAGCCCGAATTAATCATTAGTGTATTATGTCTTTATGTTTGTCAGTTCGGAACACTTCCCCTCCTTTTGCTTGCAGGTCTGAAGAAGCGCACGTATGATCAAGCAAACATAGGGCCTTAACAAATACCTATACTATTTTGGTGGTTCCTTATCATAATTGTAGTAAAATGGGGCTCAAAACCCTACTCTAATCATTCAGGCCCCACAGTATATGATTAATGGAGTTGCTTTCAACGTCCTGGGGACGCCTGGAGGAGTCGAAGCCGTGGTACTTCTCCAGACGAGCGAGGGTTCTTCAGGGCTTGGTTTCTTGGGGGTTTATTAAGAATTTGCGGATGTCAATATTTTGAGTTTGGGGTTTAATTATGGGGCAATATATTACAAAACCCCCAAACCCTAAAACCCTAGGCCCTAAACCCTGAATTACAAGATTTATATAGATGGGACCCAAGCCCAGGAGTCCCCCGATCCAAAAGCCGAGAGCCCGATCCCCGAGGCTCTGATTTCTCATATTTCGAGGTCATTGGGCCGACCTTTATAGTCTCCTTAGGAATTAGTTGTCTTTTCCGATCCTCCTATCATAGAGCCCAAGAGAATATTAAACCTATTCTTGCTTTTTATGGTTCTAAATGGGCTATAGGACAAGACCGTGGCAGATCAGGCTTTTGGTCCATGTTGAGCCTGAGGGCAAACTCAAGCATGTGCCTTACACCCTGACCTTTCTTAAGCCCCACCTTAACCTGGAACAACCTACCCTTTTAAGGATTCGTATAAGGAAATCATAATAAGGAACCCTCAAAAGGAAGGTTATTCAGGGTTAAGGCAACACCCCCAGCCCCTCAGAAACCCTTAAACCCTGAGGCAACTAAACCCTAAAGCTAACGAGCACGTCTGACAGGGCCGGCACTCCTTTGGCTTTGTTCGTGCGCACGGGGACTCAGCCTAGGAACACCAGAGAGCTTAAGTGGCTGTAGGGTGCAGGATGAAGGGGCGTCTTGATTCAAGCATGCATCTTAGATTACAGGGGCCTTCATATCATGGTTCTAAGTCTAATGTAGGAACCTGATTAAGAAACCCTGGCCCTATAACCCCCAATATATTAGAGTTCATACAATGACCCCTAATAAGGACATATAAGGACCCAACGTTTCTTAATCAGGCTCCTAAATTATTCCTCACTTACGGCATGTTCGGCTCTTTGGATTTGGGTTTGAAGGATGTGGAATTGGGGTTTAGGGACCGCTTGGATTCCAAGAAGCGAATACAGCGTTGAAAACAAGGGCTTACCAGAAGGTTTAGAGTCTGGGATTCATGATTTGTTGCTTCGAAAGGTTCCACCTTAACTGGACCTAGAAAAGGGAACCATAGTTAATCAGGAAACCGGAACAGGTAGGCTTTTTAAGGGCCTAGAAGTCAACCATCTCATGTTCAGGGACAGAAAAAAAGTGTCGGACACAGTGGGTCCGAACGGTCCGGAGGGAGCTTCCTGCGCCTATAGTTTAGGGTTTAGGGGAACTCCGGGCGAAGTGGAAAGCCTGGTACAAAAAAAGGGTTTATAGGATTTAGGGTTTAGGGTATAGTGATACCTTGTGAGGCGCGCAGGCTTGGAATGCAGTGAGTTTCGGAGAGCTTTACGGATCTACCAGTGGTTTCAGCGTGATCTGCTCTGATCTTAGCATTTGCATTGAATGAAGAGGCGTTGGCCACTCTTTGCTCCAAGCCCTGTGAGACTCTCAGAGGCCCCCCATATACTGGTTGAGAACCCAGAGACTCCAATATCCCTTAATGAAGGAATTTACCTTAAATTATAATAGGATCTCTAGTATGATTTAAGGAATATTCCTTAATTAAGGGATATTGGAGTCCCCTAAACCCTAAACCCTATAGCTCCCTTAAAGGTGCCCTTAGAGGAACCCTAAGGGTCCTAGGGATATTGGAGTCTCCATACCCGATGCCGCCAAGGACTTCAGACTTAGGGCCCTAGACCCCTTAAGGACCCCATAATAAGGTCCCTGGAGGCATAGGGATACCTAGAGGCTCCACAGTAGTTCCTTTTTAGGATTACCTTATAGGATCCTAAATATGAATCACCAAAAGGAACTACTATGGAGCCTCTAGGTAAAGCTTCCCTTGAACCCCAAACTCAAAGCCTTCCTCTTACGGGGAACTCTTTTGGAAAATCCACAGCAGAACCTTCCATAACTCAAGGCTCAAGACACCTAAAAGCTCTACCCGAAACGCCTGAAACCCTTGAGAAGCAGCCTGCAGGAACCTGTTCACCAAAAAAACTGTCATACTGTTGGTGGTATAGATCCTGCATTACCTTAAGGACCCTAACCATGGGAATATATGGCATATTCCTTATAATGGGTGATGTAGGGTTTATATCATCAACCGTACCTGAAGGCTCAAAAGTAGTGCATTGCTCCTCTCGCCGGTACCCGCCGGGCGGTGTCGCCTTTTTGGGCGATGCCGCCCAAGCCTCCGGCGAAACCACCACCCCCGCCTCAGGATGGAGAAGGCAGGCTTTTGGGTTTACCTAGAGCAACTAAGGCACCGTTAAAAAACGTGAGTGTGCCGTTTTCGAGTGTCATATCCTCTGTAAAAGGTTCATTGGTTGCTAGAGGTAGGGACTTTAGGGTGCCGAGCTACAGGGTTTAGGGTGTAGAGTTGCGGTATTGTTCTTTTAAGGGCTACAAGGTCAAGGGCCTAGTTGTTTTTTGAGATTTTCGGAGCTTTGAGGAAGTCTCGCAGATCACACTACCTTCGCTGATAAAGAATAGATTCCAAAGACTACCGTATTGGGTGACCATGCGAACACTGGCAAAGGCATATGTGAAGTTTCCGAAGCTAGTGGCAGCAGGACGGTAAACACTATAAACCCCAGGACGGCATAGGCAATGACAGACAGCCTGTTTCACGCAGCAGTTTGTGACGTTTTCGGTCATTTTCGGTCGGAAGTGGCCGAGGAACTCATCAGAAAGAACTCTGCGACCTTTCATTCAACAGACGTCCAGTCGCGACCCTACAGCCTCTGCACCTCAACGAAATTACCGGAGATGTTCCTGCAAGGTCGAAGTACAAAGTGAGGTCTCGGGCTCATCCCAACATTAAACGTCAAGCTACTTAATGTAGGAGCCTGATTGGAACCTTGGGCCTTTATTCCGGTTCCTTGTATGAATCCTACTACTTTGGGGTTGGCAGGCTCACCAAAAAGTTTTGGGGCTTAAGGGGCCTCTGCAGGCCCTGGGCTGGTAGACGACACCTGAACAGACTGCGGTTGCTTTTTCATTTCCCTGGTTTGAGTGGTATAGCAATCCCCGCGACACAAGTTACCTAAAGAATGGGTTGCTGGCTTACATATTGAACTATGTAGGTAACTGGTAACTGGAGGTGCAGGGACAGGGATGTATACCAGGCTTGAATCCCAAGTCCAAATAGCCACTTTCAGTCTTTAGCTTCATCCTGCAAAGCCCCCAAACCCGGACCTCAACTCGGGGTCTGGGTTACAAGTAGGATTTAGGGTTTAGGGGGCACATGGAATCCATAAGAATCGGGATTTAAGGCCCAAGCCCTTTGCCCCAATCCCACGCCTTCAGCCTCCTGGACCCCAAACCTTCAACTTGAAAACCAAAACCCTCACCTCACCAAGCCTTCAATCCCTGAACCCTCATCTGCAAGCAACTCGTGGCCTCAATCGGTCAAGATGCCTTAAACCCAAAGACCCGAAAGCCCCAACCCCTCTAACCCCAAACCCGAAACTTCGTGAGTTCACGGCAGGATCGGCAAACTTACAAAGATTTGACCGACGGCCATCCATGGGAGGCGGATGTGGGCTCAGGGTGGCTTCTTTAATTTATGCCTGGGGTTTCAAAGTTTTGCGGTTTAGGGTGTTTTAGGGCTGTAATTTGAACTTACGGTATGCAAGCCCTTGCTTCACCCTCCCTCCCTTGACAAGGCCGAGAAGTGGGGATCAGAGTCTTTGATGGGAAAGTGAACAGTTTAGGACCATGTTCTTTCGTGTTTGCTTTTCGCCCTGGATGGTCAACAAGTGTACGAAGGATCCAAGTTGTGGTCCTCCGGTGACCGCGATCGTGGTGGTCTTGATGGTCCTAGTGGTTGGTCGTCGTCCTTGTCATGGTCGTCGTGGTGCTCTGTCACTTTTTGTGGGAGCTACGTTACCAGAGTCTCGATCCCTGGCCGTCCCCGGTTCCCCCCCTTGATCCTCCTATAATCCAATAGGCCCCTACCCAGCAGCCTCGAACCTTGTCCGATCCCGGAGCATCTCATAAAAGATCCTAAACGCTCAACGCTGGGATCCCAAGACCAGGGGGTGCTGTGGTAATGCGATTCCGCTACTAGTCCGCAGATCACGGGACGCGGTGCATGCAGGTAGCTTCGCAGCAGCAATGCAGCGGATGAGGTGCCTCCGGTATCAGGGGGTGTTGGGTCATAGTTCTTGGTTTCCACGAAGTTTCAGTCGTTGTGCCGGTAACCAACGGTCCAAATCAAAGACACATTGCGTTGCAGGGTCTGGTTACTTGTGGGCTAATGAGCCTATCCCGCGAGCCTCAACACCAACCGCTGAAGCTATAAACCCTCACTCTTGGATCCGTGCATGCCTGTGCCAGTACGGATGTCGAAACCGAACGCCTACATCCATCAAGCTGAAGCCCTCGAACCCATAAAATATATCAGGGCGATATTATTGTTCGTTTCAAAGGCAACATGAAAGCAGGGGGAACCTTATTTTCGTGTCCTTATGACAAGGATCCCACTATTTAAGGTCACTGTATAAGGGCTCCCCATCTTCGGAAACTCCCATATATCCTCAAGCCCCTACTTTCCTTTTCAGGCACCCTACATGACAGAGCACCCCGAAGATTGCAGGCCCCTGTCATCTTAGGCCGCTAAACCCTACCTATAGTCTCCATTGTAGTTCCTTTTTGGGGTTACCTTTTTAGGATCCTTAATCTAAACTTGGTTAAACCACAAAAAAGGTACTACAATGGAGACTATAGGTACAGTAAATCCTTCCTTCCCGCACCGCCCCGCGACCTTCTAAGATACCGCAAATGGGAGTTTCCGAAATGGTGGACCCGAATGTAGTACCCTAAATAGCCTTGTTATGAGGACCCGAAAATGAGGTACCCCTGATTTTCGGAAATTCCCAAATAGCCACTAATTATCAAGGACCATAATAAAGGCTCCATGAAAGGGCCATTTCGGGATCCTGGTTCTCAAAAATATAAAATTCCAAACCCCTAAACCCTAAACCTTAAACCCCTAAACCCACTAAACTCCTAAACTCCAAAACCCTAACTCCTAAACTCCTGAACCCCAAACTCCCAAACCCTTCCCTTCTCAGGCAAGGAAAGAGCGGCTCAATGAACCGGTCGGAGCGATCCATGTCCAGTCCGTCCAGGGGCGACAGCACACCGAGGCTGCTTGGCTACCTTTAAGGGGATCATTTGCAGGGATACTATAAGGGTACTATAAGGGTTCCTTTAAAGGGCTCTATAAGGGTTTAGAGTTTCCGAAAAAGGTACCTTAGCTTGGCTGCCTGGGCTTGGGTGTTTTAGGATTTAGGGTTTAAGGGTTTAGGGCCTAAGTTTAGGGTTTCGGGGTTAGCGTTCAGGGTCTATAAGGTTAGTGTAGGGCCTAGTGCCAAGGTTTATATGGTTCTGTTTCAGGGTCTGGGTTTAGGTTGATGTTGATTCGGCTGTCAGTCGAAACGATGTTTCATCAAATGTGCCAGCACCCGACCGTCGCTCAAACAGAGGTCTTGGAGAATAAAGTTTTGAGCGATTGATGAGCTCAGCATTGGTAGGTCAGTATTTGGTCAAGGACTCACGGGCATGCCCGTAAGCCTTGAACGCCCTTAACTTTACCGTAATCCGCTTAGGCCACGAAGTCATACGGTTGATGATATAAATCCTGCATTACCTTAAGGACCCTAGACTAGGGGAAATATGGTATATTCCTTATTGTGGGTAATGCAGGTTTTATATCATCAACCGTAACATAAGAAGCCTTGAACCCAGCATCCCCAACACTCAAAAGCCTGAGCCCATAGGCTACAAGCCCGAAGACCCTAATCACAAGAACTAAGCCCGAAAGTGTCCTAAGGATGTGGGTTCGAGGTTTTGGGGGGGTTTGTCAGGATTTTGCTACCAGAACCTGATGGACAGCCATATCCGTCTTTGATATATATATATATATATATACCCAAAGGCTACAGGCATATACCGGAGACTTGACATGGTGTGTACCCAGCATCGTTCTTGTGGCTCAGATCTCTTTTGCTTAGGTGTCCTCGTCAACACATCTCAGCCCTAGCTTCGGAAGCCTAAAGTCCAGGCCATATGTAGGAGTCAAGACGATGAGCGACGAGGAGAGTTCTCACCTCGCATCTCCATGTGCTTTAACCACCAGTCCGAAGGCTACAAGCCTTCAACTCTAGCCCGAATGTCAGTATGGTATTAATTTTCTGCCTTAACCAGTTAATGAGTACTGTTCGTACTATTCCAGCCGCTATTTCAGAAACGCCAAATCCGGTACCCAGCGAACTTGGTATACGTGAGATGTACCCAGGCCCCGTTTTGCCCAAGTGCAAAAAGAGCAAGGAACTGCCATCTTATCATAGGGATCCTTAGGGGTGTAGGGGGGAGGGGTGTAGGGGACTATATTTCCTTAAATAGGCCTTATTAGTCCTTATTATGGGCCTTAAGGCGCCCTACCCCCCCTCCCCCTACACCCCTAAGGATCCCTATGATCTTAGGAGGCCAGAAGGGGTTTTAGCCTATGGGGGTTTAGTAGGGATTAGGGTTCCCATAATAGGGTTCATATTAAGGAATCCCTACCCCAAGAATCTTACACCCCCTTTTTGGCCTCTCATCATGCCAGCCTTGTCTTCCCCAAACAAGAACCGCCTTGGGGGTTTAGGCGGCTTAGGGTTTATCAACGGGGAAAAGGGGGGACCCTTAATGGGGAATCCTGCCCCAAAAACTTGCTATACAATGGGTATATAATAGCTATATTAAGGGTATATACCTAGGGGTCCTTATTAAGGGTCCCTCATTTTACCCTTGGAGTTTAGGGTTTCGCACACGCTGGATGCAAGAAATAATAGTTAAGCCAGAGCTGGTATGAAAGGTGAATTCTGCCAGGCAGGAGAATCAGAAAGTGGCCGAAGTATCCGAACTTGTATCCCTGATTTTTCAGAGATTCCAACACCCCTTAATTAAGGAATATACCTTAAATGATATTCGGGATCTTTTGACAGTTCAAAGGATATTCCTTAATGAGGGATACTGCATGTAGTCTCCTACACCGTACACCCTGTAGACCCCTTACAGGAACCCCAAAAGATCCCTTAATGGAACGGAGTCCCTGATTCCTAGGAAGCCAACCATGGTTGTGTCCGACTTCATTCGCATGGCGCAGCCGACAGTCACCAGCGAAGAGAACACTTTCCAGCATAAGATGAAGGACCTGCAACATGCACCTAACAAGCATGCGGGCAGTTCTCCACATGGGGTCTTCTAGGTCCCCCCAATACTACGGGACTCTTATAAGAAGGACCCTAATAAAGACCTTAATTGAAAGAGTTGCCCATGTATTCTTCAAATACGAGCCTACATTACCAGTACTCGACTGGCTGTGCTAGACGCAAGTACCCAATTACTGCAAAGGTCCTTGGCACGTGCAGGAAGAACCTAACTTCAAGTCATCCCAAAACCCTAAAACGCCCTAAAATCTACGTATAGGCCCTAACTGTAGACCCTCGACCACCCCCTTCCTCACAAAAATTGAAGCACGTCTCACCGCACCTGGATCTGGGGCGCTGGCTCTAGTGAGTGGTGAAGGACGGCGTAAGGTCGCCAACCACAGAGACTGGACGGCTTAGAGGAAACCTGAAAGTTATACCCTACAAGTATCGGCCCATGGTCCATGCCTAGAGGCTCCATAGTAGTTCCTTTTTGTGATTCATAGTTTAAGAATCCCAAAAAGGAACTACTGTGGAGCCTCTAGGTGTACCTGTACTAGGTGCACTAGGTACGTAGGTATACTGCAGCTTTTTTAACGGGCCTAAGTATATACCTAAGACCTACGTCGCCGATGCTCAGAAGAAGATGTCGTGATGTACTTTGAAAATCCCTGATGGAGGGGTTGAACAAGTGTGACGACCCCTCCTGTAGGGGCCTCAATGATTACCAATACTATTTTGGGTGGTTCCTTATTCTAATTATAGTATATTCGGCCCCAAAACCCTATTCTAATTATTCAAGCCCATACAGTAGACAGGGACGCCCCACCAGGACAAGATCCGAAAAATCGTGACGGGGCGAATTGTGTCACTTCGGCCGCAGTGCACAAGGGCTTAGGGTTTAGGGACTTTAGGGGTTCTAGGGATTTAGGGAATTTAGAGTTTACGGTTTAGGGAATTTAGGCTTTAGGGCAAACTCTTACCCCTAAACCTATGGATCCCTGGCAGATACCCTACAGAGCCCTCTTATTATGGACCGCTTGAGGAACCCTTGAAGAAAGCTTACACGAAGTCGCAGAGCAGGCTCTTTTCCTGAACTTGGCTAGCATCTACAGACCCCTACCTATAGTCTCCATTGTAGTTCCTTTTTGGGGTTACCTTTTAGGATCCTTAATAAAAAAAATTGGTTAAACCAAAAAATGCACTAAAATGGAGACTATAGGTAGGACCTAGTGTAGGCCCTTATTCCCTCTTTTAGGGTTCAAGTTCCCCCTCATAAGCACCTCTAAACCAAAAAGGGCACCTTTTTAGTCCTAGGTCACTCTTAGGTCTGGACCCTAAAGCCTGAAACGTAATTGAACTCAAGCTCTGCCTATAGTCTCCTTTGTAGTTCCTTTTTTTTTAACAGTTTTATATTAAGGATCCTAAAAGGTAGCCCCAAAAAGGAACTACAATGGAGACTATAGGTGAAACCCTGAAGCTTCATAACCCGAAGTCCTCCACGCCATCTGCTCGTCCTTAATCTCCACGGGTAAAGGGAGGGACCCTTCGTAAGGAACCCTAGGTATATACCCTTTATATAGCTATTGTATACCCATTATCTAGCCCATTATAGGGTAGGGGTCCCCATTAAGGGTCCCTCCTTTTCCCCTTTGATAATCCATGAGACCTTGCGTTCTTGCGGCTTGTGAGAAAGATGACTGGCGGCTGGCTGCAGACGTTCAAGTCTGAAAGCACTTTGCCCTCTTTGGTATGGAGCACAGAAGTGAAGTGAGGCCAACAAACCCTGAAGTTTTAAGCACTTTGGGTGTGATGAACTGGGAAACGAAGTAGAGCAGCCCCAGCACAGCAGCACGCTGCTTTCGAAACTTGGCGGACCGAAAGGCGCCTGTAACGACAAAGCAATTCAACCCCCAACCTTCGACCTGAGTAATTTCGCTAGTCCGAGTCTATGATGATGCTGAAGATTCCTATTATATACAATTCTTACAGTATTACCAATCTTACGATCACGATGCTTCTTATTACTATGATGATCGCTGTTATCATTGTCATCACTGCTTCTTATTAATAGTAGTACAGTGTTATGACCAAAGCAGATACCCAAGGTCGAACTTCATGGCGGGTGTTGTGCTCTTCGATGCGTTTTGCACCTGCTCCGACGTAGATGCTCGAGCTGCTGGGCTGGCGCCCGGGCAAGAATGGATTCCCGGAGCTTCCGAAACCCCTCGATTAATCAATATAATAAGGCCTATAAACCCTTGGCTTCAGTCTTTCGAGCAGGATCCAGCGAGTGTAGGTTTAGGGTTAAGACATCATCAGAGCCACCCATGACATTAAACGAACAATACCCACTGGTTTGTAGGTGTGCTTTCTGCATGTTGGACACCTGAGCTGTCTAGAGGACCTATACCGTTATGGTACGCAGCTCTTGTAGCACCCGAACCTGAACTCGAAAGCCTTAAACAAGCCTCAAAGCGAACCCTGGAAAGAACTGCAACTCAAACAGGAGACTCCACGGTGGATGCTAATAGCTCCTTGGAACTAAGAGCTACAGTCTATTTTAGAGGTAGTGAGTTTCGATTTCTGGCTTCTTGCTTCGTGGCTTAGGGCTTGGGTTTTAGTCTTGTTTGGTATTGTGGGTCTATGCGTTTCCGGATCCATGCATGCGGTCAAGATTTCAGGGTTTGGTCTTTGGGCGTGGGAGGTTGGGAAGGATTGGTCTTAGAATCTTAGAATTGGGGCAAACAGGTTTGTAGTAGATGGGGCTCAAACACAGTCTTCTGCGATGGTGGTTTTTGTTGTTTAAAATTCAGTGGGCATTGTGTTAGGGGGGTCATGTCAATTGACCCTAAACTGGGGTTCCGGGATTTGGGCAAAATGGTGGTGGTGAGGCAAGGCACAGTTCATCAAGACCCTAAACCCTAAACCGGCTCCCCAAATACCTTCGGCCATCTGAGCGTTTTCAGCCCGAAATACTCTGCGGGCCTCTGAGTCCGGGGAAGATTTTGAAATGGAAACCCATCAGTTTGGAAAGCCTTATGGGGGTTTCCGAAAATAGGGGACCCTAATATCGCACCCCAAGTAGTAAAATCCTTATTATATACAAGGACCCCCAAATAGGGTCCCCCTAATTTTCGGAGATTCCCTTATGCCCCTAGCACAAGTCCCCAACCCACAGCGCTGGTTCAGATTGAGCACCAACGCCCAGTTCTGGCACGCTAGCCGAACATGTAAGCCCAAAAACATTCGGACACGACATCTCAGACATACCCAGACCCTCCAAAACCCCTCAATTAAGGAATATACCTTAAATTATAGTAGGGTCCCTAATATGATTTAAGGTATATTCCTTAATTAAGGGGTTTTGGAAGGTCTGGGCATAGCAGGATACCCGCAAATGGAATAACTACTAGCGATCCTTGGTCCCTACATTACAAGCCGCAACTACAATCCTAAATCTTCCACCCCAGCCCTCAAGCCCTGAACATTAAGCCCCAGACCCCTGTACCCTGCTCCGAAAGCCAAAGCCCTGAACCATACAACCCTAGGCCTTAAACCCCCTGAGTGTGAGCGTCGAAACCCCTCAATTCTGCGATCTGAAGCCAAGCAAGTTCAATTCTAATAGGATCCTGTCCCTATTATTATTCGTATTGTTATGATTACTATTATTGTTATTATTGTCTACGGTATATCCTTAAATACAGAATCTTGGAGTCTCCTGGAACACCGAGGTATCAGATTTTTGCTTAGCGTTGTACACCCTTGAGCTGGGACTCCTTCTGTGCCTGCGCTGCTTTGGGATGTGAGGGGTTTGCCTAGAGGCTCATACCCTACCCCCTTTTGAGGATACCTAGTTTTATGGTTAGGATCTGTTATCTTAAAAAGTAGGCGCCCTAAAAAAGGGGTAGGGTATGAGCCTCTAGGTGGGATTTGGGGGGTTTAGGGTTTGGGGGTTGCGGGATTTAGCGTTAAGGCTTCTTCAGGGCTTTGTGATTTTACCGCTCGGGGTTTGGGGGGTGCCAAATTGAAGACTACCGTCGCAGAAGTGCTCCCCCACAACACTATGCAAACCGCTACGTCCCTAGACCATATAATATAACTCAGTGATAAAATAACATGCGCTGACCCCAGCGCCCTCCCTGTTTAGTGTTCGGCTTGCACACGTGTCAATCCTCAGAATTCTGGATCCTGAACTCTAACCGTTTAGGGTTTAGGGTTTAGCCCAGTCAGGGAGCAAAAAGCACAGCAGTCGCAGTGGAGTGTTGACCTTATTTGGAGAGCCCTGGGATGTACATGGGCGTTTCCGAAAATTAGGGGTACCTTATTGTGGGGTCCTTATAATGAGGATTTAGGGTACTTATTAGTATCTCTATTTTCGGAAACTCCCAGATAGTGCTTTTGGTTGCTGTCTGTGGTGGATTTGGCAAGGGTTTTGGCCTTTGTGACTTGTGCTTTTTTGCGTGTTTGCCTCTGGGTCTTCAGTATTCATACCTTAATAAGCTGTGCCCCACACACCAACAGCAGTTCTTTGATTACTTCCAGGAGCAGGACCCGAAGCCTAATTTTCCTACCATCAATCAGCCAAATGTTGAAGATCAAGCTCTCGTGATGGATCACAGACTCAGAAAGATCAAAACTTAAACCCTCAGACCCTAAATTTCCTTCGACCCCGCCCTCACTCCAATAGAAACAAAAAGGCACCTCAAACCCTATGCCTGACTGCACCGTGACAAGCCGAAGATGTATCTTCAAGTTCCACGTCTGAGGAGTACCGGAGATTCTACCTTGAGAGCGCAGGGTTCAAACAGCATACTTGGGTTCGTGGTGGCAACATGATCTGCCGGGAAGTGCCTAGCCAGAAGACCTCACTATTCACCGAGTCTGCCGCCCAACTGTCTGGTTCTTTGTGGGCAATATGGCGGAATGGGTCATGGGAACTACTATTGGGGATTATATAGGGGCTACTACAGGGCTCCATTCCCCCATTCCCAACTAAGCACCAGACGGCCAAGGTATGTTTCAGGAAGGAAGCTTCTGCGTGACTGGATGGTCATACTGGACATTGTGATCATCTTCTGCGGCTATGCCGAGTTGCTTCTGCGCTCTGTCCTGGGCAGTTTTAGTAGGGTTTAGGGTTCATTGACTAGGACCAGGATGTCCGAAAGGTTGCCTTAGGAAGTGGCCGACGCATTTCGGTCAAGGTTCACTGTAGAGCTGAGGATTCAGGATTCCAGGTCTCAGAGGTTCATGGCCTCACTCAGCCACTGGCAGAGGTTTGCGGAGATTTGGGGTAAGATTGGCAGTATGCAATACTCTGCAGTGGCAACGCCTGGCAGTTTGCACCGGGGGCCATCGCGCAAATCGCAAACTCAGTAGCCCTGGAGCAGCCATATGAAAGCTAAACCCGAAGTCTTAAACCCTGCAGCCCCATATCTATAAACGCCAGGCCCGAAATAGCCTTAAACCCTACACTTCAATTCAGGAATCTCTTCGCCCCTGGTGATCTCATTGCGAGCTTTAGCATGCTTCGAGTCCTGCGCTTGGCACGAATTATTCGCCGCTCGGTGAAAGAAGGAAGCCTAGTTTCGAGTTTAATCAGGAGCCAAAGAAGCACCCAAACACAATATAGGGGCCGAAATAATTACCTATAATATTTTGTGTGGGTTCCTTATTATAATTATAGTATATTGGACCCGAAGACCCTATTCTAATTGTTAAGGCCCCTTTATTAAACTTTCGGGTGGGGCATCCCTACCGTATTGGCTTAATTGAAGAGGGGGTTCTGGGATGTCCCAACCTTATGGTTTTTGTTTAGGTCCTTTTGGGGGTCCCTAGCTTGGGGCTGGGTCTACTAGGGGCCTAAATAATTACCAAACATATGTTGGGGATCCCTTGTTGTAAGTATAGTATAAAAGCCTCATTATTCTAATATATTAAGTCCCCAGTATTATGTCATCTAGGACTCCGGTTATTGGCCTCTGCACCTACACTCACTCCGTAGCCTTCGTGATGCATGCGAATTTTGCGATCAGCTGGGTTTTGGACTTATCCTTCAATCAATCTGCAAATAAAGCTAGCCGAAATCCTGCCGAAACCACAACCAGAAAGACCACTCCCGTATGGAATTCTAGCCCTACTCCCTATGGCTAGCATGGATTCACTTCAGAACTGTTTTTGCAGTGGTTCCCGTCCGCTGCGCTTTTGATTTCTGGTCCCCAAAGGCAGGCACGGGGTCTATCCGGATTTGGCAAGCATCAAGAACCCTTAGCTGCGTTGTGTCCATTGTCAGCTCCTAGGAAGCTTGCGAAATAACAAGACACTCTATACCCCTAAGGCTCCATGTACCCTTATAGTATATAGTTAGACCTTAAAGTATAGGGACCCCTTCAAGGCTTAAGTATTTACTATAAGGGTACATGGAGCCTTTGGGTAGTGTAGAACCCGCCGCCCTAAACCCGAAGCGACTTAGGTTTCAGACCCTGAACCCTGGACCTCATGACCCGAAACTCTAGCATTGCGCTTGGGAAGCGTATAGCCCCATGTGGATTATCAAGGTCCCTGCATTCAATCTTAGTTAGGCCGTCTACCTGCAGCTTGAAATCCTAAACCCCTAAAACCTAAGCCCTAAACCCTAAATCCTAAACCCCTAAACCCATAAACCCCTAAAGCCTAAACCCTAAACCCTAAATCCTACACCCCTAAACCCCTAAACCAAAGTGCATGGAAGCCTTCGGACCCTTCTGCCAGGCCTGATGCGCCTGCTTCGGAGGAGACCGGAAAGCCTCTGACACCCCCCGCAATTTAGGGTTTAGGGTTTGTGTCCTGCAACCAGGCTTGACGTTTCGAATGCCTGGGAGAGAGAGAGAGAGAGAGAGAGAGAGAGAGAGAGAGAGAGGGTTTAGGGTTAAGGGTTTTAGGGTTTAGGGGTTTAGGGTTTGACGTTTCGAATGCCTGGGAGAGAGAGAGAGAGAGAGAGAGAGAGAGAGGGTTTAGGGTTAAGGGTTTTAGGATTTAGGGGTTTAGGGTTTGACGTTTCGAATGCCTGGGAGAGAGAGAGAGAGAGAGAGAGAGAGAGAGAGAGGGTTTAGGGTTAAGGGTTTTAGGGTTTAGGGGTTTAGGGTTTGACGTTTCGAATGCCTGGGAGAGAGAGAGAGAGAGAGAGAGGGGTTTAGGGTTTAGGGTACACCAGGGCAATCCCCCAAACACAGACTTCTTTCGGGGCTCAGGGCTTGTAGGGTTTAGGGGGTCTTAGGCTTCACACTCTTTCACCGCTTAAGTGAGGAATATACTTTCATCATATGGATCAGGGTTTCGCTGTTTTCTTCGTAGCGGCTCCTGAGTATTTGTGCACAGTAGTGCCCACTACGGGTTTCCGAATATGGCTATGCGATCAAACCCTCAGCCCTCAACTCTCTTGGACCAGCGCTTGAGCCAGACGGGGAAATAGGGAGTTCTATCAAAGAAGAAGAAAGCCAAGAAGAAAACCACCGCCCACAAACACCCTAGCCCCTAAACCCTAAACCCTGTCTTTTCGATATGGGAGCTTCCGAAAATTAGGGGTCCCGCTTTTTTGGGGTCCTTATAATAAGGATCCTACTAAGGGTGCTATATTTGGGTCCCCTATTTTTGGAAACTCCGATATTGCGCTGGTTGAGTCGCATATTCCTCTTCTTGGGCTGCATCTCTCCCCAAGGGGCCAAGTACCTAATAATCATATACTCTCCAAAGTCTTAACCCACATAGCTACAATCCTAAAGTCGAGTACCTAATTCTTGGGTCCTTTGGACCCTTGGGGTCTCACGCAGGACTCGCGCCTTGCGCGAGCTTCAGAAGCTCGTGACCATGATGGCGACGTGCTTGAAGGCCCTGACACTACTGCTGAGGCTTACCCAGAGGTTCCACGGTTTAGGGTTTAGGGCTTAGGGTTTAGGGTTCCAGAGTATAGTTCCTTTTTGGGACTACCTTGTAGGATCCTAAATATGAACCACAAAAAGGAACTACTATGGAGCTTAGGCTTAGGCTTACCTAAACCCGGAATGACCTACCGTTTTAAGGACCTATATCAAGAAATCATATTCAGGAACCCAAAAATTAGGTAGGTTCTTCAGGGTTAAGGTAGGCTTATTGTTACAAGTCATAGTATACTGAAGATAGATTGAACTATTGAACTACGATTTCATCTAGAAGGCCTCGTCCTGACAGCCCGAGCCTTGATGAAGCCGTTGGTACTTAACACATGGGTAGCTGTCAAAATTAGGGTCTCTTTTGGTACCCTAAATATCAGGTGCCGTACTATACTAGGGACCCGGAAATTTTGAGAACCACCCGCATGCATTTTGAGCTCGGTAAATATTGAACACTAGCAACACCCATCTCAAACCTCAGAGTCCAGGCCCTTCATTCCAACCCAAACGGTTTTGATCTGTTCATCACACAGTCGGCGCCCCCCAAGGCCATCCAACAGCTTTATCTTGACTGGTGACTGTATCCGGTTGTAAAGTAGCCGTTTGTTGTGTTCGACTCCTTGACAGATCATGGGACCTAGTTCTGTATTCCAGCAGGGGTTGGCCCAACCTTACTTAAGTAGTTGCCTTTGCCCATAAACCTGAACCACCAACACCGTAAAGGCCGGCCCGAATCGCCGAAGCCCAAACCCTCAACGTTGAAGTGCAGTGTTTAGGAGCTGCGAAGTATGTAAAGTGTAGCTGAGTATCACTGCATGCCCGGTACTAAAGTTTCGTCGCATCCGTTAGCAACACTGAACGGAGTACGCGGAGTCCGGGCTGTGAGGAATTCCCTAGCCTGGCTAGCGGAGGAATTATCACCCGGGAATGAAATTATAGTACCATATTTGTTCCCGGCGGAGGACTTCTGGAGGAGTCTACGGGGAAAAGGGGTCTTGAACACACATGTTGTAAGTCGACAACATAGAGTGCGACGATCTTTCGGACCGGCGCAGTAGTTTTTGTCTTTCGTTTCATCTGCTCCCATCCCAAGTGACGTGGCCACCGACGGGGTAGGGATGTGGAGGTGTGCAGGCTTTGAGCTCAGATTTCGCTGCCCAAACCCCCAACTCGAGAAGCCCCTAGACCCCCAAGCCCGAAAATTTCAGGAGATAAGCAGTAAGCGAACTGCCCAGACCCCACGCCTTCAGTGATATGGAAAGTGAGCAAGTATTAACAATATCCACAGTGATCTACACTATCAAGACCAGCGTCTTCTTTGCAAGCTCCCCATTCGAAAGGGTCCATGTGCCCATATCGTATGTACCCTGATGTTACAGTACCTACATAGAGACGCCCGCCAGGTAGAAATCTAGACCATGTAGATACGTGGAGCCCTTCAGCCCTAAAACCGGAAGCCTTTCGGGCCTTTGTAAAACCTTCACAGTAACCCCATAGAACCCATAGCGGGCCCGCTTCCAGGGAACTCCTTCTTAGGATACGTGGGCCCTAAGGATCCGATAGGGGTCCGAACCTGTGAGGCCCTTGGCTGGTCGTTCATCTTCTGCTTTGTGGCTTGGGCCGGCATGTGCGGCTTCGAGTTTGGATTCGGGTTCCCCTCAGTGATCTATAAGGGTTCTACTGGGGTTTAAGGCCTAATGTACGGGCCTTAAGAATTAGAGTCGGGTTTTGGGGCCCCATTATGCTACACTTTTAATCAGGAACCCTCAAAATAGCAATTATTTAGGCCCCTATATTGGCGTAGTACACATGATTTCGGAGCTTAGGCTGCAGTGGTTAACGCTCCCTCCTCCCTCCCGTCACACACATCGGCCTCAGTATGATATGGGTCTAGCCAGCAGACAGCACGAGCCTAGAATCAACAGGGGCCCGACATAAGACCTCGATTTCAAGGGGTTTATTGAGGGTCCCGTCTTGCAGCCTGCTCTGAGAGCTGTCATGCTGCTACAACTGGCGTGGGAGCCAACCCCAGGCGAAGTGCGAAGCCTGTTGCAAAAACAGGGTCTTTGAACTTTGAGGAGAGCATGAGCGATCATGTTACATAGTCAATGCTGCATACTTCAAGGGCTTCCTGCTAGGACAAACCGCCGCCGTGGCAGGAAGGAGGCCAAGGAAAGCAGCGATAAAAGCACTAAACCCTGCAGCCTAGGTAAAACCCTAAACCCTAAACCCCTAAAAGGGAACCCCAGAAAGTTTCAATATGGTTTCAGGGTAGGATACCCTATAATTTTACCATAAAGGTTTTAGGATAATCATATTCCAACTTTCTGGCTTTTGCTTTAAGCCAATGTCAACCCCTTTTGTTACCCAGGGCCGGCTCGACTCATCGTACTTTGTGGCCCTACCCTGTGTTGTGGCTTTAGGGACCCAAAAAGCACATAAGCATAAGCATTTCATGGGGATATCCCTACCTTCTTGGTCTTCCTTCTAAGAGGGTTTATATGGGATATCCCTACCCTTATTTTTGATGGCTGTCTTTCGGACCTGAGTCGAGTTGCCCCTTTAGTCACCATGCGCACCGAGAACCTCGTCTGTGTCCGAGTTGCGAGAGCGTACACCCCTACAGTAGAAGCCAGAAAGTTGGAATATCATTATCGTAACCCCTTTAGGGTAAATTATAGGGGATCCTACCATTAATCCATATTCCAACTTTCTGGAGTTCCCTTTAAACCATTGTTACAATGATTCATGCAGATCACAGTCAAAAACTGAGCCATCCCGGCTTTTTAATGTCCCTTCGATGCTGTTTCGACCTCCGAAACCTACCTTGATCCCTATACCCTCTTAGTGACCTGTAGCTGAAGTCTACCAGGATCTTACTAGTTACACTCCGCCTCGCAGGTATGTAAGATCCCGTGTAGGAAGCCGTCTACGGAAGTGCAGTCACTTTATTTGTTGATATGGTTGTTGTTGCTTGTCATCTTGACTAGTTCCTTTAGTTAGTTTCACTTTGCCAGACTCCGAACCACATGCCTCGCCTGGATTGTCCGAGTGCGAGCGCGAAACCCCTAAACCCTAAAACCGAGGTAAACCCTAAACCCCAATCGCAACGAGACGAAGATGGGTAGCAGCAGACTTAATGAATTCTGCGACATCCCCTAAAGTGGGAGCGGCCAATAATTTGAAACGCTGCGCGTCGTCCGCCTCGGCCCGGCTGTACGCGCATGCGGCGAGTGGCTACTATCTGCAGCAAGCTCTTGTAGGAAAACAGTAACAGTTGGAATCGCACTTATAGTAAACGTAATGTTCATAGCAACACGAAGCAGGATGATTGTGAGTAGTATTAGTAGTGGTAGTATCAGTACGAATTTTGGTGTCGTCATTCCGAAACACTGGATACCAAGACTCTCGCAAGCGGCGGGATGCCTTAAGTATGGGCCGTTGAGGCTGTGGATTTCGTGGGCGTCTTGGATTAGGGAAGCATCACAGCCTTTTCAACCACGTTACCCTGCCCCGCCCCTGCCCCCCCGCCCCCCCTCCTCCCCCACCCTCCCGCCCCTCCCCCCTTCGCTGACAGGTGCGAGCTTTCTTGGCGTCGTGCTTTCGGGTGCAGGTGTTGTCCGGGCTTTGAAAGTTTTTCAGGCTAGGGTTAGGAATTCAGGTTTGAAACTCCCTTGGTACTGCAGCCTTACAAGCGAGCCCCAATTTTTCAGGCTGGGGTTAGGGTGTAGGGTTCGGAGTTCAGGTTTGAAACTCCCTTGGTACTGCAGCCTTAAAGGCGCGCCCCAAGAGATAAACATGCTACATTACAGTCCGGTGTCGTCGAAAACTCCAGAAAGCTCGCACCTGAGCGGAGGAGGGTAGGGGTCCCCATTAAGGGTCCCTCCTTTTCCCCTTTGGGCTACACCTGGGTATCAACTCCCAGCCCTTCCGAGGTGATCATGACCATCTGGGCCATGCTTTTGGTGGAAACTGGGTTCGGAAGTACCATAAATTACTTTCATGCGTTGTTTTTTTGGATCTGTTCCTTAAAGGAACCATTAGGAAATGCAAGTTTATGCCTTTTTTTCTCCCGAAGCCCTAAGTCCCTAAACCCCAAACCTCCTTGCCTACTTCAAAGCCCAGGAAATAGTCCTAAACCCTAAACCTGAGGGAAAAACCCTAAACCTTCTTGCTTACTTCAAAGCCCAGGAAATAGTCCACCCCATCATCTCCCGAAACCCTAAGCCCCTAACCCCTAAGCCCCTAAACCCTAAACCCCAAACCCTAAACCCTAAACCCAAAAAACCCTAAACCCAAAGCCAAGGAAATAGTCCACCCCATCATGAAGGAAATGCGCCTCGCCGAGGTGGCCTTCCAGGCCGCCCCCCCCCAGAGCAACAGCAATCGGGGACCTTTAAACCTTGAGGGTTTTAGGGTTTTAGGGTTTTAGGGGAGAGAGAGAGAGAGAGAGAGAGAGAGAGAGAGAGAGAGAGAGAGAGCGAGAGAGAGAGAGGGAGGACTTTAAAACCCACCTCAATCTACCCCAAACCTATAGTAAAGGGCTATGGTTCTACATACTCTTGGTCCAGGTAAACCTTAAACCTAAAAAACATCCAACCCTAAACCCTTAAAGCAGCAAGCCGGAACCCTAGAAAGCACGTCTCTGTAGGGGAAAGAGGTGCTCAGAATGAAGCTCGCCGCCTCGTGGTTCAACCTTAACGCCTTGATGTGTGGGCATTTCGTGGGTGTTTCTCGTGTGACTGCTTGTTCTTACACCTTCCTCGTACGTCGGCTGAAAGTGCAATATAAGGCGCTTGATAATGATTCCCTAGGCTTCCTCATTACACCATCAGTAGAGTAAAGCCCCAACTCCAAACCTTCTTGCAGTTAATCATCAAGGCCCAATATTATTGCTTGGAGGCTTTTAGCCATTTTAGTCTCGTGGTTGGGCTTGTTGAATCCTGGGTTTTCGGGGCTTGAGCGGCGATGGAGATAAAGGGCTTGAGGAGTCAGCGCTCCTGGAATTTTCAGGCAGTCCGAGCCAAGAGCCACTAACATAGGGGCTTGAATGAGTTCCCTATACTATTTTGGTGGTTCCTTCTTATAATCATAGTATACCCTAAACCCTAAACCCTAAACCGAATACCGGGCTCCAAAACCCTATTCTAATCATGGTAAGCCCCCTTCCATTAAAACGTAAACGTCGGGGTATAGGCTTCAGTACTTATGCCGAGCTCTGTCTTCTCGGGCGTCAGGCATTGAAGCATATACCAGGGTGCAATGCAGGATCTGAGACGTCAGTTTTTTAGGTTTTTGGTCGGATCAGTACATTTAGGGAAGCACGTCAGAAGAAGCTCAGAAGCTCAAGTATTTAGTTAGAATCTTCCTCGCAACGGCTTACAGGCCACACCCAGACGTAGAGTCTGATTACAGATCCATCCCGCACATGTCTGCGAGGATTGCGATACGTGCCTGAAAGCGACTTCTTCCGTCATGGACTCGAATCTGCTCCTCTTTCAGACGGCCACCTGCTTACAAGAGGGTCTCTTAACCTTGTGCGGTTTCGGGTTTGGGCATGTTGGGTCGTAAAGTTCCTGAAGCCCATGACACAGAAGCCACTGTAAACAGAGCCACCTACTGCCTGAGTCTGCGCAGCCATCAATTAGGGATCCCAAGCGCACATAAGCGTAAGCATTGTATAGGGATATCCCTACCGTATTGCGCTTCATTATAAGGGGGTTTATATGGGATATCACCATCCGAGTTTTTGCTTATGTGCCTTTTTGTGGCCCTAATCAATCCCCCCACAGGCCTGGCCGCCCCGCCTAAAGTCTATCTCCGGAACCGCATATTGACTAAGATCCCCAATGCCCAACCGTTAAGCTTTTTGGGTTCTTATAGTTTGTAGGAATCGGAAAGTTTAAGCTTTTATTTCCGTGGTTCATTGGGGGAGTAAGTTGACATGCAAGCAATGCTATTCTTACCTTTGGTTAGTAGGGAATGGAAGAATGGTAGTAACAGAAGTTACAATTGTACCCCATTCCTCCACTCCCTACTAACCAAAGGTAAGTATTGGGGTTCGGGGTGTGACCTCCATATGTTGGAGGTCTGGCGTGTCCGAGTGTTGAGTGCCAGAGAACTATGGATGTGCATCGATCACCCTGTCAGTGCCTAACGGTCCACTTTCTGAGGTCATCGCAGGTGACAGTTGGGGCGACATAGCTGTGCCCGTGATCGAGTTCTCTCCGGGAACGGCAATTATCTTCGTAGGCGCCTCGTCCATGCATGAGAGTGTGCAAAGGTCCTCGGGGTTGCACCAATGTTAGCCCCCAAATCGACCATCTAGAATTCGTTTCGACCTATTTTATTCCCCAAGTTGACCAGCCAGAATTCGTTTCTTCTCTCGCCGACCCGATACCCTTAATTTAGCTTTTATATACCCATTATGTAGCCCATTATAGGTAGAGGTCCCCATTAAGGGTCCCACCCAACCATCGGTACGAAGACAGTTGGGAGTTTCCGACAATAGGGGACCCTACTATAGTACCCAAAATGGTAGGATCCATATTACAAGGACCCCTAAATGAGGTACCCCTAATTTTCGGAAACTCCCAGTTTCATGGCTGTCAGCCACACGAAGCCGCTGCTTTCGTTCGGGATTGCCTGCGACTACTACGGTTGATGGTATAAATCCTGCATTACCTTAAGGACCTTACACTATGGGAATCATGGTGTATTCCTTACTATGGGTAATGCAGGGTTTATATCATCAACCGTACCACTTCCACGACAACGAACGACCATTGCCACCACCACAACAGCAACAGGGTTGCTTTAAAGGGTTCCTTTTCAAGGGTGTCTACAAGGGTTACTATAAGGGCGATTATAAGGGTGTAGCGCAGATCCCTGATTACGCAGCTTGACCCTTCAGTGGATCATCAGACCCATGCGGATCTGGCTCTCGAGCCCTTGAACAAAGGGGACGGAGGGACGGGCCGCAAGGAAAAACCTGTTTGCTTAAACTCCAAACCCCTGTCCCCAAGGGTCCAAGTATCTAATAATCATATACTCTCCAAAATCCTAACCTACATAACTACTATCCTAAAACTGAGTACCTAATTATTGGGTCCTTTAGACCCTTGGGGGTGTTGATAAGCGAGCCATGAGTTTCTTATCCAGCAGTGCTGGGTTTTGACCACTATACACATAGGGACCATATAAGGCCTATTAAGGAAGTATAGTCCCCTACCCGGCTCCCCCCTAACCCCTAAAGGTCCTTATGATATACTGAAGGTTGAAGGTGTAGGGCGGGTGTGGCTCCCGACTGCTTGGATAGACGAGAGTCTTGAGCTCCTGGTTGATTAACAAAGCGCTGAGAGTGAAAACTGAACATTATGCTCCCATTATGAAGTCCTGCTTGATTACTAAAGCGCTGAGAGTGAAGACTGAACTTGAGGTTTCCATTATGAACTATGAACACTTTGTAGTTACACCCGACCCTCAAGTTTGCAAATGCTTCAGGATCTTTGTTGACGCTGGTCTTCGGCGTTCTGAACTTAATTGTAGCCGTTGTCGCCACTCGGCTCGGCTTGGGAGTTTAAAGTAAAAGCCAGAAAGTTGGAATATGATTATCCTAACCCTTCTATGGTAAATTATAGGATATCCTACCATGAAACCATATTCCAACTTTCTGGAGTTCCCTGTAGTGAGAAAGCCGTTACAAAATCCAGCAACACGCCATTCATTCTCGTTTCGGTCTACCTGTTTCGGTTAAGGCTGGTGTTGCACATGGGTTTTAGGAGTTTGGGTTTGGTGTGTAGGTATGTTCGACCACGAGGAGTTTGAGATTTGGGTAATTGAAAATTATTCTGGCTGGCCGCACTTCTGCCTGAATTCGGCCATAAATTTGCTGCGCAATCATGTAAATTGAAATTAGGTTGAGGTGTATAGGGGTGTGTGTGTGTGTGTGTGTTGTGGTGCGCTTATGTTTGTTTTCAATGTCGAGTGCGTGCCGAACCCCACTAGAATACACGCTTTATGATGATCTCACCACACTGCAGCACTGCAATCCTAGACATGATCCGTTTCGCACCTGTTCAGAAACGCTAGTACATATTTGTATACATATATGCAAACACACACACACACAAGTACACACATGTATATATGTATATATGTATATATAGATATGTATATATCTATACATATATATATGTATATATATATATATATATATAGATTTACAACAGTAATATGCAGTTACTATACACACATAGGTTGCCCATGTATCTTGCAAGATGGCGCAACGTCTGCCTCTGACACAGACATTCCGGAAGCAAGACAAGACAGTTGCCTACATCGCGAGCAGCCGTCGGGAAACTCCTTGCCAACCCTGAGCTGTGTCCAACATTCCAAATCCTTGACCAAACGAGTGGCTGCTGGAGGTTTATGCTGATAAACGCATGCTTTTGCTGCTGCGGGGCCCTAAACCCTAGACCTCAACCCTAATTTATTGTTAGTAGCATCCTCCGACTTTTCATCTTCATAGGGCCAAGTAGTTACTTCCGAAGGATCTGATCAACTTCTTTATTAATATTTCGTGCAAGACAAGGTCGGCTACCAGCCTTCCCTTCCCGAGGTGGAGGCCTTCTTATAGGTATAAAGGCCCCCTACCCCCCCTCCCCCCTACCCCCCCTAAGGACCAAAACGTGCCAACGGCCTGGTATAGTGTGGTCTTTGGGCCCAACAGCCTTTTTTTTTATGCGTCCTAGATCCCTTTAAAGGACCCCCCCATAGATCCCTTTAAAGGAGCCCTTTTGTGAGTCCTTAGATCCCTAGACTTCCCGAGGTGGACACCTTCGCAGAAGTCCGACAGCGAGATGTCTTGAATCTAGCGGAAGAGATGGAGCATGAGATCGAAAGTGACAAGACCCCCCTCCGGGTTCAGAGTTTACTTGGGGGGTCGGGGGACTTAGTAAGTAGTTAGTAAGTAGACTGAAGTACCCTAAAAGGGACCCTAATTGGGGTTGTGATACTTATAAGTCCCTAAAATAACCAGTTACTAAGTCCCCCGACCCTCCAAGTAGGGTTTAGAGTTTAGGGTTTAGAGGTTTAGGGGTTTAGGGTTCCGGGTTTAGAGTTTTGGAGTTTTAGGGTTTAGGGGTCCAGGGTTTAGGGTTTAGGGTTCAGGGAAGTAGAGTCTGGGTTCAAAAAAGGGTTCAGGGAAGTACAAGGTTCAGAGTTTGGGGTGTAGGCCTCTGGCTTAGGGGTTTAGGATTTGGGGTTTAGGGCTTCCGGGGTTTAGGGCTTCAGGGCTGTTGGAGTTTAGGGTTTAGGGTTTAGCAGTACCCGGCAGTCGCCGGAGGCCTGGATTCAACAGGGTTTAGGGTTGAGGATTTTGGTTGCAGCTGGTCCCAAAACCTGAACTCACAAACCCCTAGGGAAAAAAAGCCTTGAAGTCCCTGATTCCTAGACCCTAAACCCTAAACCTTAAACCCTAAACCCTAAACCCCAAAACTGTGAACCCTACCATGCCTGGCATGTCCGAGTGTGAGCGCCGACATCCTGAACCCCTCGCCATGAAAGACCTCAGCCTAAGGTTTAGGGCTTTAGGGGTTTAGGGCTTTAGGGGTTTAGGGTTTTGGGTTTTGGGTTTTGGGTTTAGGGTTTAGGGCTTTAGGGTTTATAGGGTTTAGGGTTTAGGGCTTTAGGGGTTAGGCTGCAGGGCTTTTCGGCTTCCTGCAGTCTTCTGCGCCAATATGATGCTTCTTCAGACGTCCGGCCCCAGCCCGTGACTCAAGAAAGTGGTTTAGCGGTGTGGGGGTTTAGGGTTTAGGTCTAGGCTGAAGAAGCTGGGAAAAGGGGCTGTTGCTGTAACCGGGCTGCTGGACAACGAGGCCTGCTGCAAAAAGGTCAAGCCTAGACCCCAAACGCTTGCAGACCCCGGCAGATGCTGTCACTTGTATCCGAGGGCAGCACTCTTGGGTGGGAGGTTTTGTGGGACCCCAAGAGTGTTGAGGGTTCTGCCTAGTTTTTAAAATCGGGAGGGGGGGTGCTGAAAGAAAGGAGTGGCTAGATATGGCTGCATGGCATTGGTCCAAGGGTACAAGGAGGGACCCTTAATAAGGACCCTTAGGTATATACCCGTAATATAGCTATTATATACCCATGATATAGCCCATTTTGGGGTAGGGGTCCCAATTAAGGGTCCCTCCTTTTCCCCTTTGAGTTGGGATGTCTCAGACGGATCTTCTCCCTGGTTCTTTTCAGTGCGGACACTGCAGAAGAAATTCAAAAGGCTCTCAAACCCTAGAGCTCCACTTAAGGGTTTAGGGTTTAGGGTTTAGGGTATAACTACAAAGCAGCTGTAGTCTCCATTGTAGTTCCTTTTTTTGGGTTACCTTATAGGATCCTAATATACAATTGGTCAGACCACAACAAGGAACTACAATGGAGACTACAGATAGGTTAGTGTACTTAATTGTAAACCCTAGCCGACGCCCAAATCATACACTTCTGTCAGAGCTGTAGTTTCCAGGGTCGATCCGAATCTCCCCAGAGCTTAGGGTGGTTTAGGCTCTAGGGTTTATAGAAATTGCATAGGGTCGGGTGTAGGGCTTAGGGTTTAGGGTCTAGGTCGGTTCCTGGCATATGCGTAGACCAGGTGTAAAAAGGGTTTAGGTCGGTTTTAAGCACAGACTCCGCTGTGCACAGTAGTGTACTCGAATAGGCTAAAGTACAAGGCGCCAAAGAAGCATTCAGTTCAAGCGCTTAAGATTAAGGTTTAGGACTATATAGGGTTTTCGCGCACCCAATCTGGAGCACATACCCTGAATCACGAACCCCAACATCGAGCGATAAATCGTCAAACTCTAAAGCCCTTGCCCCTACAGACGTTGGAGCACCCATTTTGAATCTTTTGCATCAAAGCAACACTGCCTTAATTCCTGCACGTCTTGAGAAGGAATCTATTTTAAGAGCCAAAACAGGGACATATATCATCTAATTTAGATCCGGTTTGTCGTAGCTCAAGCCAATCAACCCAGTCAGTTAAAGAAGTGCAGGAAGTTCTTGCAAAAGATCTTCGAGCGAATCGACACGGATGGAAGTGGACGTGTCACTCTGGAGGTTGGGTTGCTAACGGTGACTGTAAGGGTTTCTCCAGCACTACTATAAGGGTTACTACAACGGTTACTATGTATAGGGTTTTGGGCCCTGAAGGTTACTACAAGGGTTACTCTAGCACTACTGAAACGCATACCATAAGGGTGGGGTGCTGTAGGGTTTTGGGGTTCTGGGCTTTGGGGTTTGGGACTGTTAGAGTCGATTTAGTAAAAGCCGACCGACCAGTAGAGCAGCAGTACGTCCTTACCCAAGGACCCTAAAGTAGTTCCTTTTGGGGATTACCTTATAGGATTCTGTATATGAACCCCAAAAAGGAACTACTTTGGGGCCTTAGGGTAACTGTCCACTGATCTGGTATGTACTTCTTCTCTACAGCACCGCCTTAAAGGAGCTCCTACAAAAAAACCTTTAGAAGGAGCCCTCAAGGCTAATCCCGGAATCGTCAGCCTGGCAGGAACTTGTGGAGGGCGCGCGGAAGGACCCCCAGTTCCAGAGCAGGCTGCGATCAGTGCATGGGAGAAGGATTGAATATCCCATAGTCTCCATTGTAGTTCCTTTTTTGGGTTACCTTATAGGATCCTTAATATATAATTGGTTAACCCCAAAAAAGGAGCTACAAATGAGACTATAGGAAGTGAAGCTTTGCAACCCAATAAAACTCCCTACAACCCCTTGCGAAACTTAGAAATTACGAAATCCATCATCAAAACACCGCGTCGAAAGAGTAACCGAATCGACAGAACGGCCACCCCACGGCCAACCCTACACCTCGGTTTCTAGCCCTTACATATATGGGTGGTGGTCAAATCAGGGTCCCTTTTTGGGTCCCTATAATAGCACGGCATCTAATATTCAGGGTACCCAAAGAAGGGACCCCAATTTTGACAACCACCCATATAAGATGCATGTTGTAACTATCTATAGTGAGCCCCAGAAAGTTGGAACATTGATTTAGAACAATTCATGCTGGGACTCCCTATACTTTACTTTAAGGGCATGAGGCTAATGATGTTCCAACTTTCTGGCTTCTACTGTGGGTAACTAGAGCTCTTGGGTCGGATGCGTTTTGGGCTGCGCTGAGTTGTTTTGCTCAGCGGGTTTCGGGCCGTTTGGGTTTAGAGTTCCGGCATGGGGAGAACTCGGGATGAAGAGTGTGAGGAGGGGTTTGAGTCGAGTTTGCTTCTATCCCCCGACAAAAATCCGAAGGCTCGGATCAGTGCGGTCGGGTGTTTGTGCCTGTGCAGTATCCCATGAACATGCCACCCGAGTTCGGGACGTGAACTCGTCCTCCGAAACCCAAAACCAGCCTGAACTTCTGAACCTCAAACACCAAACATTGTACCATGAGCCTTAGCCCCGCTACCTGAACAATGGGTACTGTAATAACCTACTATTTAGGTAATTGGAGCGTTAGGGAATGCTACCCCCTGAGCTGCGGAGGCTCCGAGTCATGGACATCGACGAGGCGTTTGCACATGTCAAGAGTGGAACGAGCATCGCGAGCGAAGCTTTGATGGTTCTGTGCTGCAGGTCCCGTAGTCGTGATGATGACAGCGATGCAGATGGTGATGATGATGATGACGACAACATAGGACAACGAGGTTGGTGATGGTGGTAATTATATGGGTGATGACGACAAGGCACAAGGTAAGGATGATGAACAGGACTAGGGGTTTAGGGTTTAGGTGTGTAGGGTTTAGGGTTTAGGGATGCCGATGCTGGTAGTGATGCTGCTAGTGATGAAAAGGCCTGATGCCAGTGATGATATCCGTGAGGGAGGTGAGCTGCTGCGCGTGTGGCAAACAATTACCACCACATTGGTAGCGTAATCCTTGCCGTTTCCTTGCCTGTTGCATTGTGTTTCACATCATGGCAACTGACCACGATGCTTACCACGTGGTTTGCTCGTGGTGGCTACGATGATATTGGGGATGGCGAGTGCGGACGAGCAGGCATGAGTTCTACGATGATAATGTTGCATTGCGGCCGGTGATGATGATGGACCACGTCCTTGACCATGGTGACGACATCGAAATGAGGGTAGGAATGCTTGAAGACCGGTCCTCGTGTCTCGAAACAGGCAGACTTGCAACAGTTGTTCGAGATGATAGACATCCACTCTGAAGGAGAGATTGATGCACGGGACCCGGGCTTCTGAGTCATGTCGTGCTACCTTTGCTCCCGAAATTTGGGGCCGGTAGGATTCCCGACGTCTTGTTTCACAAGTTTATTCTCGGTTTGTTGTTGCAGCCCTCAAGCGTCCAGGGTTCGTAACTAGGGTCGCCCATAGCCGGGCGCTGATAAACCCTGAGTCTGTCGGTGATCGTCCCGATCCTCTTGGGTTTCAACTGCCGGCAGCGAACCGTGGGGTCTGGTGAGCTGGAGTCTGAGAGCTTAAGCCTTTAAGTCTCCAACCCTTCGGTTTAGGGTTTAGGGTCTGAGAGCTCTAGGGCTGCTTAAAAAGGGTCTGAGAGCTTAAGCCTTTAAGTCACTAGGCCTTCGGTTCGGTGCTCAGTTCCGGCTTCAGACTTTCGGGCTCAGGCTTTATAGGGCTTAGATCCTTGACATAAACGTAGACAGGTTCTGGGCCCCTAAACCTACAGCCTGATAGGATGTGGGTGTCCCAGTGACCAGGTGCAGACTGTAGATCGGATGACCTTGAGGTTACTGAATTTTGGGGGTTCAGGGGCCAGGTCTCTTTGGGGTTGCAGGGTTCATGTGCAGGGTTTATCAGTTTGGGGGGGTCGAGTTTAGGGTTGGAAGTGAAGGTTGCGTGTTGAGGTGGGCTTAGGGTCGCAGGCTTGGTGTCAGCAGAGGCTTTGACAACAGGCTTCCCGCGGTCATCAGTGAAGTGTGTATGATGATTTTCAGCTTGAACATGTTGAAGCCCTGAATCCAGGTTTCGGTGTACAATGCATGCCTCTACTGACGCCAGGCTCGACAACACCATCTAAACTCTAGACCGCTGAAGTTCTAAACCCCAAAATCCCCAAGGCATTCTAAGAATTTAACCCTAAACCCGAAGGAACTCCTGCAATGTTGTTTCACCTCTAAGTGAGACCTCGTCCCATATGCCTCGCCTGGTTTGTCCGAGTGTGAGCACCGAAACCCGAAAGAAGCAACTAGGAAGCCCTGGAGTAGTACAGGGGCCTAAATAATTATGTGCCCATACTTTTTTGGGGGCTCCTTACAATAATGATAGTACAATATACCCCAAAACCCTCGTCTAACTATTAAGGCCCCGCATATTGTTGTACTCTTTTGGATCCTTTGTAGTTACCCTGATAGATCCCTTTAACAGAACCCCTATTCTGAGTGTTCAGACCCCTATATTAAACGATCCCCAGGCTGCTGAATTCATCGCTCCGCTCAGCCGTTGGGTACACGAGTCAACGACGGCGCCGCGATTCATCAAGTGCCCTCTAACTGGGAGTTTAGGTGTTCAGGGGTTAGGGTGCAGTGCTTTTTGCTTTTGAGTTGTGCTTGAGCTTCGTTCGGTGCCTACACGTGGTACCAAGCCTTACCCGGCAACACTCTCACGAGGCCTGGATGCAACACGGGATTGGGGTTTAGGGTTTAGATCCTATAATTTCTTGTTTCAGGGTCTAGAGTTTAAGATTTTGTTAAGGGTCATAACACGCGGTAACACGCAGAATACACACAATGATATACTGATGGGCTATAGAACACTATAAATCATAAGGCCACCAGGACCCTCCTTGTACCCTCAAATGGGGGTATATGATGCCAAACAATGGGTACTTAGGGTCTAATAGGGGGTAGATGGGGGATCCAGGCATACTCTGTTTTTGTTCTGTTTTGTGGCTGCCGGCGTCTGACTTCAGCCTCCACAGCGACGCCTCCTTCCGACCATGACGGCGGAGTTGCTCCGGGGTTCATGGAGACTTTCCGAGCTTCAAGAAGACATATCGTCGTCGGTAGCATTGGTATCCGCTTATGGTCCACGTGGTATATATATATATATATATATATATATATATACACACACACACACATTTGAGTGTAAATGTATATGTGTTTATATATATATATATACATTCCCGAAACACCCACATACATACCTACATACATACTTAGTTACTTACATCCGTCTATGCATGCGCATGCATACATACATACATACAAGTATACCATCATAACATGCATATGTATATTACATATACACATAAATATAGAGATGTATATATATATATATATATATATATACATATGTGTCTTCACACTTGCACACGCACGTGTGTGGTTTAACACGCACCCATACCCGATTCAAGCGGTCCTGGGCCCTTCCTGACACAGATGAACCTGATTAAGAAAAAGCTGGCACTCCATTCCAATGCAGTGGACCCCGGACTAACTATGACTAGAAGCCCCCCTCTGACACTTCTAAGAGCCATGATCGGTTCTTACTGCCTCCGCCTAAACTCCAAGCCGTTATTGACCTAACCTTGAGAATCCTGGTGCAGGTACAACATGTTGCGGACAATTCAGATGCAGGAGGAGCTGCAAGAGGCTACGCTGACTCAGTTCGACAACTTGGGATACAGGACCGGGCACAAGCAAAGCAGAGAAACAGCCTGAGAAACCCGAATTATTTCCTTGAAGCCTGTACCTCATTACTCATGGACCATGCATTGTCCCATTCCCTAAGCCCTAAAGCCTCAACCAGGGCATCCTCTGTTGTGATTGTGGAACATTTTTCGCGTGCGGTTTCGAGGGTTTGTTGCAAGTGAGCTTGCTAAGCCTGCCGCGGCTACAAAATGGGATGTTGATCGTGTTTAAGGTTTGTGGTCTAGGTTAGGTGAGGGATTTTGGGAATACAAAAGAGGATGAGGCTTCGTAGAACCCCAGGCAACCTTCAGGAGCGGCAGTACCAGAGTGGCCAAACCCAAAACTCTCTTGTTATTGTGGAGGTTTTGGTGTCGAGGTGTAGGCTTGCTGCTTGGGGGTCGGAGGATTGCCGATGCATTTGTTGGAAAGGGCAGTTCTAGAAACCTCACAGCTAGTTGAATCCTACGCGTAAATGCCACCCAGTGTCTGGCATGATGATAGGACAGGAAGTCCCCCGCCCCCGGCCTATATAAGGGCTTCTTTGCATAGGAGAATCGGTCATATACACATATATATATATATACATATATATATATATAGTATCTTTGGGTAGTTGTCAAAATCAGGGCCCCTTTTTGGGCACCCTAAATATTAGGTGCCGTGTTACATTCGGAACCCAAAAATGCACCATAATTTTGACAACCCTAAACCCCCAACCCTGAAACCCTAAACCCTTAAACCCCTAGACCCTAAACCCCGTTTAAAACAAAAAAAACCCTTAAACCCCTAGACCCTAAACCCCTAAAGCCTTAAACCAAAACCTGAGACATCTCAGACTGAGGGCTTCCACGACAGCAAATGGGAGTTTCCGAAAATTAGGGGTACCTTGTTTCGGGGTCCTTATAATAAGGACCCTGCAATTTAGGGTACTATATTAGGGTCCCCTATTTTCGGAAGCTTCCGAATCTAGCGGTGCTTCGCGATGCCGAAGTCAGCGGAAGGGCTATCATGTGTGCGTGTGTTTGTAAATGTACATGTGTACACATGTAATGATGTAAGGTCTGTATGTTTAGAGCATGTATCACATAGTGTGTATACATGTATTGCACTGGTGAATGCCCAGCACGTGTACACAGATAGATACAGACAGATGGATAGGTAGATAAGCAACAGGTAGATAAGTATATAGAAAAGAGAAAGATAAATAGAGAGATAGACAGAGATAGATGCACAAGTAGATAAATGGATACATAGATAGGTAGATAGGCAGGTAGGTACATGGATATACCTCTCTCTCTCTGTCTGTCTCTCTCTCTCTCTCTCTCTCTCTCTCTCTCTCTCTACATATATTTATATACATAGGCAAGCAGGTAGATAGATAGACAGATGGATATATACATATATACACATGCACATAGATATGCGGTTAGGAGGGTACAGCGCACACACATTTCCACGGGCACACACGTTGCGTGATGACGGTTGCTGGCAAGACCTTCTCCATAGTTGGTTCATGTACGTCCATGTTTCATTGTAATTAGAGATGACATGCACTCTGCGCAGCTTTCTACTTAGTTTTAGACCCAGAGGAATAGTGGCGAGCATGCCAAAGCACGGAATGTGTGTGTGTGTGTGTGTGTCTTGTTGTCTGGCGTTCTCGGATTCGGTCATGGGCCCAGAAATCGATGGAAAGGGAACTCCGGGTTTAGGCTACTCACTCGGAGGCTCTTTCGATTTAGAATGTGCACTTATAGCCACCCCCCTGTAATCCGGGTCACTAGCTCTAATAACTTCCTACGCCAAACACAAAGATAGGGCTTGGCCGGCTTGGGTGCGATGAACGTTGCACCAGGATTGACCAGATCGCAAATGTGTTGCACCATTTCGGGAAAGAGTACGCACCGAGGGAGCAAGCGGGGCCACTCGACGACAAGGTTCAACAAGGCTTTGAGACATCTATCTAAGGATCCAAGAAGTAGCTAAGCCGTATATTTGGACCCGAATATCCACTCAGAACCTACCATAGTGGTACTTGGACCCTTTGGGAGGTGCGCCTAAAGGAATTGGTCTGGTAGGAATGTCAACTGCACCAGAGCGTGGACTCGTGCAGGATGTACTTAAATTCTTCGATGCTTGCATGAGTCTTTCTGCAATGTGGCTCCGAAGAGGTTCTAAGTCCTTACGTAGCCGGAAGCCCAATGCCTCATAACACCCGCTCGTGGCCCAAGTCGTTTGGGTGAATAGGAGGTTGTAGGATTTTCTTTCAGAATGTTGCACGCGGTCTAAGTCGATTAGGACCAATAAGGCTTTCAGATTTTGGGGTGTGCACAGTCTCATGACCAGGCCAGTGGGTGTCTTGTCAACTAAGGCCAGCTTCATCATCATTGAAGCCGCAGCCAACCGCACAACCAAGGCACGCGTATGTACTTGGACGCGCATGTCGAAAAAAGGGTTCATATCCTAACATAGTCTTTGTTATGGCTGATCGGCTGTTTCCTGCACCTGCCTACTCATGACTGTTTCTAGGGCTACATCATCAGCATCGGGTTTGTGTTGCTTTCTGTTGTTGGGGGCTCTCAAGGAGCCCTAGCACTGAACCCACATGTCGTCAAGGGGCTAGCAAGTGCATCCCTTTACAGTCCGTATATACACACATGGGTGCATGTGTGCATGTACGTCGGTATGTCTACATGCATGTGCATGTCGTTATGTATGCATGTACGTAGCAATGTAATGTGATGTGATGTGATGCAAGGTAATGTATACATGCATGTAGGTATGTAGGTAGGTATGCATGTAAAGTTGTCTCAAGTTAGCACACACGCACACACACACACACACACACCCCTGTTCTCAGAATTGAGTCCCATTCATGTAGCGAAGCTCTCGGGGTGTTTGAAAGATCAGTCGCATGAAGATCGGCCTGCAGCATCCTACAAGTAGCGCCAGCTCATCATGGTCAAGTCGGCTTGCCCAGACCTTCCAAAACCCCTTAATTAGGGAATATACCTTGAATCATATTCTTACAGTAAGTATTAGGGACCCTACTATAATTCAAGGTATATTCCTTAATTAAGGGGTTCTGGAAGGTCTGGGGGCAGCCCTACACCCGGAATTACCCAAAGGCCCCAAAGTAGTTCCTTTTCGGGGCTCGTATATAGAATCCTATAAGGTAATCCCAAGAAGGAACTACTATGGGGCCTCTGGGTAAGCCCGACATCCAATAGCCTAGCCAAAAATGCCTGAACCCTAAGCCTTTATCTCTTAAGTCAATCTGCAGCCCGAATAGCATCACCAGTTTTCGGTGGGCTCTTTATGAAAATTTCCTTGTCTACTGCCTTAACAGTTTAGGGTTTTTAGCTACCCGTAAACCCCAAACCCAAAATCCCTGAAGACCTCTCATGCCTTCTAGAACCGCTACAGAGCCTCTAAAGAACTCTAAACCCTTAAAACCCCCTCAACACTAAGCACCAAACACCGTCATCCCAAAGGGTCCAAAGTACCTTTATAGTAGAATGTAGGGTTTCTCTATTAGGAATTTGCTATTATGATTTGGGAAAGTACTCCCCATAACAGTACCTAGGACCCTTTGGGCATAGACCCGAAACTTGGAACCCCGGCTTGCGGATGGGCAGGACCCTCGGAAAAGACCCATTTCCAGCAGATGCCTGGCAAGCAACAGCTCAGCGCTAGGGCTTGGTGTTTGGGGCTAGGGTTCAAGGTTAGAGTTTAAGTAGGGTTTGGGGGCTTAAGATTGGATGGATTTAGGGGTTCTGGGGTTTAAGGTTCATGGTAAAAGCTTCCGAGGACAGGTAGGATTATTAATGATTTCTCAGGCATATCGGTAGTTCTGTGATGCCTGTGTGAGTAGCAAGACCCTTCGTTTAGTCGGTCTTCGTCGTCGTCGTAATCCGACACCACCTGTAGAATGGGAATGACCGCAGAACACTAGCGCATCAAGAGGTTTCGTAGGTTTCCAGGACCGATGCAGGCCGCAAAGCCCTAAGGCTCCAGTTATCTAGATTTCAGGTTACTGGGTTACACAACACATTGGTGCCTTAGGAAACTTTGTGTGCTACAACCGAATGCAGCGGCTGAAAACACGGGCTTCGAAGCTAGGTGCTCTGGAAGCCATGAGTTGGCCCTGAACGGGCAGACACTACGACATGCAACGATGCTACACCTTCCTCCATTTATGTATGTATGTATGTATGTATGTATGTATGTATGTATGTATGTGTCTATGTGTGCATGTTGAGACGTAGACGTTGAAGAAAACTTTGCAGAGCTCTTACCTTTGTTGCCTGAAAGTGTGAAAGGGAACCGTGTAAGCCTTAAAGCCAAGAGCGACACCTAAACCCTGATCTCTTTTTGGAGACACATTTTTGAAAAACTTGCAGCATATACAAGCGTTTTTAATTCAAAGGACATATTGTGCCATAGTCCTTCTGTACATAGTAGCAGTTTGCCCGGAGTGTTTCAACTCGCCAGCGGAATCCTAAAAGGCAACTCCTGAAAGTAAGAGGATAGAAGACCTCAAAGCCAAGGACGAGCATACTGTTACACATCCTAAACCCCAAACCCTAAACCCCAAACCCTAAACCCCAAGCCCTAAACCCCAAACCCTAAACCCCAAACCCTAAACCCCAAACCCTAAAAAGAAAACTTCAACGCCAAGGATGAGCCCGCAGTCGATCCGGAAGTGGATGTTCCTCGCTACCCCACCAAAGACTCGCGATCGATGACGCAGGAGCCGGTTGGAGTTTCCGAAAATTAGGGGTACCTTATTTAAAGGGAACTATGAGGGTTCCTTAAAGGGATCT